GTCGCTTTGGATAAAAGCGTCTGCTAAATGGCATATTATTATTATTATTATTATTATATATTATAACTATTTAGGGAAGAAGCAGTCAGATGGTATTCTGTCTATAATGGAGTGGCCAGCACAGTCACCGGATCTCAACCTTATTGAGCTGTTGTGGGAGCATCTTGACCGTATGGTACATAAGAAGTGCCCATCAAGCCAATCCAACTTGTGGGAGGTGCTTCAGGAAGCATGGGGTGAAATCTCTTCAGATTACCTCAACAAATTGACAACTAGAATGCCAAAGGTCTGCAAGGCTGTAATTGCTGCAAATTGAGGATTCTTTGACGAAAGCATAGTTTGAAGGACACAACTATTATTTCTATTAAAAATCATTATTTCTAACCTTGTCAATGACAACATTTCCTATGCATTTTGCTATATTTCCTATTCAAACTCATTTCATGTATGTTTTCATGGAAAACAAGGACATTTCTAAGTGACCCCAAACTTTTGAACGGTAGTGTAGGACAGACACTTCAAAACCTTATTCTTTATTATTATTTTTTACTGTCTGTTTTGTACAAATGTGTTATTCAATGTGTTTCTATGGGCTATAGCAGTAAAGGCCAAATTCAATATTTCATCAAATTATTTTCTATACCTACAGGGGTCCTACAATTCTAAATCAAATGGCTAAATGATCAATTTTATGACCATCTTAAAACGATTCCATATGTTAGCTTAGTAGATATTGAGATCTAAGGGCTTAGACCTAGAACTACTTAAGATGAATGCACTAACTGTAAGTCACTCTGGAGCATCTGCTAAATGACTAAAATGTCCATGTAAAATGTAAATCCACAGTGACCCAATCTCATCCTGGTCAAAATGACCTCATCTTTCCTCTGCTACCCCACATACCCGCTCACACCCTTTACAGATCCCTGGATGGCAATATAGTGCTGTCCACTTTTCTCCTGCTCCCACTGACACTTCCATCAGACCCACTAACTGCACATAAACCAATCTGTGAACATTTTTAAATAACAGGAGACCATAGTTCTTCCAATAGAAAGCATATGGGACAGGAGGACATTAGGGAACAGGGAGAGAAAACTGACCAAATGAGACTGTAATCCCAACCGCAATCAGCAGAGGGTGTGATATGCATTCAACATTCGATAATGCCTGCTCTCTGCCAGGCCTCAGTTAGTGATCTGAGCTGCTACCACTATCATTGGTAACACAAACACAGCACTGTTGATAAAAACAGCTTTGAATAGATAGGAGCTACTGTGCTGGATAAAGAAAATTCAATCCACATCAATAGGACTTAAAGGCTTTTCATTGTCACAGAGATTTACTTTACACTAGACCAGGTAGTGGAGAGTGGGGTAAGTTGAGCATTTTTTTACATTCAGCATCACTCCGTTAAAGGTAATATAGTATTCTTTCGAACAAAGACATTGTATCTACATATATTTCAGGATGTTGTGTATCCCTGGAAATAATCAGAATTCATGTAAACATTTCAGTTTTGAAAATATAGCTTGTCCAAAAAAAGTGGTCTCTTGGCACAACTTACCCCGGGTATGGGGTAAGTTGAGCCAGGGGACAGGGTAAGTTAAGCTGCCTACAAATGTCTGTACTGAATTAAATGTTACCACTACCTTTTTAAAACTATGTCTATCTTTATTTCCCAAACACAAATCAACACAATCACAATCATGTTTTGTCTTTTAATCATTTTAAGCATATTTTTACACAGACTAAACACATAACAAACACTGTACTTTTAAAAACTATTTTTACGCCTGGGAAGAAAACATTTCAATTTGCTCAACTGGCCATTGGCTCAACCATTGGCTCAATTTACACCATGGCCATTGGCCAAGGCAAACATTTTGACTCTACTAGCCCGCACAGCTACAAGGATGCACTTTCATGCTAGGTTTAGGACGTCATATTGAAGCTTATAGAGACCCTAACTAATGTATAGAATAATCTTTAAATTATCTACTTTGGTTTGGATACAAGCGTCATGAAACCTCTAACACAATAAATTCATTTGACTTGGTGAAAATCTGTTTTTTTCCCCAACTTGCTTACCACTTTTTCCATGTGGTTTCTTCCTTCACCGACTCCATGAAATTATGACCTCTTCCTAAATATTTGGTCAAATTATACATTTTGAGTTTGGTTTCCTAGAAACAAGGGTTGCTCAACTTACCCCTTTGGCTCAACTTACCCCTCTCTCTCCTATTTGATAAAGGCCTCTGCTGCTTTGTGCTATATGGACATGCACAGCATCAACACACACTCACATTCACGTCCTTGATCATAATACATAAGTCAGAACACTGTTGAGCAGGGCTGCCTCGCCCCGTGCTGCGCTTAGGGCCCTCGACCGCGGATAGCGTGTTCGATTCCCGGGACCATCCTTACGTAAAATGTATGCACACATAACTATAAGTCGCTTCGGATAAAAGCGTCTGCTACATGGCATAAGTAGCAGACGCTTCTATGCTGGCTTATGTTGACTCCAATGCTTCCCACAGTTGTGTCAAGTTGGCTGGATGTCCTTTGGGTGGTGGACCATTCTTGATACACACGGGAAACTGTTGAGCGTGAAAAAACAGCAGTGTTTCAGTTCTTGACACACACCTGGCACCTACTACCATACCCCTTTCAAAGGCACTTGAATCGTTTGTCTTGCCCATTCACCCTCTGAATGGCACACATACACAATCCATGTCTCAATTGTCTCAAGGCTTAAAAATCCTTCATTAACCTGTCTCCCCTTCATCTACACTGATTGAAGTGAATTTAACAAGTGACATCAATAAGGGATCATAGCTTTCATCTGGATTCACCTGGTTAGTCTGTCATAGAAAGAGCAGCTGTTCTAAATGTTTTGTTAACGATCTTAAGCACAACAAATGCGTAACATATTGTAAGGATTGGATTCATAACATATCATAAGAATTGCAATTTTACATTTATTTTTGCAGGACATAACATCTTACGAAATAGATGACGTAGGACACAAAAAACAGTGACCGCTTTTGGCGCGTGAGCACCACTTTCAAAACTACTGGCTGAAATTATACAAAAGTTCTGGAGCATCACTTTAAAGTCACAACCCCAAAAGAATCAGCCATGACCCACTACACAAGTGATCCCACCCACCATTTGGGGACACAGATATAAATAATTGACATTGACATGCTCAGATTCTAGTCTTACATAGGTTTAGAGGTGCATGGACAAAGCACTGGAGGTAGTGGATTATCTTTGGAGGGGCTATCAACAACCCCTTGACAACCCCTTCATTTATCTATGAAATGTATTCTAAATGTCTCTCTGCATCCCTAGTTATACATGATGTGGATAACTGTATGGATAAAAGGCAACATTGTGCTGCCCTTTCATTGACCTTTCAAAGGCCTTCGATACTGTTGATCACTCACTGCAAATTCAGAGGTTTTCCTCAATTGGCCTATTTCAGGCTGCATCTAACTGGTGTAAAAGTTACTTGACAGATAGAACTCAATGTGTATCTACTGATCGTGTTAAAGGTAGACTCAGCGGAATAACGTTGCCACGAGTAGCACCACAGATGTTGAGGTGAGCGAGATGCAAGACTTCGGTCTCACACAGTCAGTATCTGTGCATGTGCACGGGTTCGCTTCATGTTATAACAGTAATCCTTCTACCCCCCCCTCCCCCCCATAAAAAAGTAAAAAATTAAAAAAGGATGGTTGTCCCACTGGCTATCCTAAGTTGAATGCACCTATTTCTAAGTCGCTCTGGATAAGAGCATCTGCTAAATTACTTAAATTTAAATGTAAATGTTGTTCACAGTGTGGTAGCCAGGGCACCAAAATAGTGGAGAAGTTGAGCCTCACGCTTCAACGCTCTTAGGTGTTTCGGAAAGTGACCCACTATGCTGTTTACTTTCTGCATCTCAGTCATATCGCTGAGTCTACCTTTAAATCAGGTTTTCTGGACATAACGAAAGGTGTCCGCAGGGGTTGATTCTGGGTCCTGTACATTTTACTGTTCACATTAACAATATTGACTTATCTGTAAAAAAATGTAACCTGCAATTGTATGCCTGTGATACTGTTGTGTATGCTATTGCCCCTACGGTTGACCAGGCTCAATCTAACTACAGTTTCCCTTTATTGTTTTACAGAAACATTTTATTTTTTGGTGCCTCTAGGGCAGGGGTATTCAACGCTTACCCTACCAGGTCCGGAGCCTGCTGGTTTTCTGTTCTACCTGATAATTAATTGCACCCACCTGGTCTCCAAGGTCTAAATCAGTTCCTGATTAGAGTGGAATAATGTAAAAATGCAGTGGAACTGGCTTCGAGGTCCAGAGTTGAATTTGAGGGCTCTAGGGCAATTTATAAAGCTGTTTGAGGACCTTATTACTGATGAATGTGTTTGTTTTTTATGACCGTGTTTTCTTTCTGCTTGCTATTTGTATTTATATTTTGATGTGTGTATTTCTGTAATTTCGGTAATTCAGGGCTCATCTGTAAAACAGACCTTGGTCTCAATATGATTCCCTGATAAAATAAAGGTTAAATAGAAAAGAAGTTCAACTCTGCGGTCTTAGTGACAGGACAAGTGTGCAGTTAGACCCTCCCCTCACTCACTCAGGCCAGCATTCCACTAAGCCACAAGCCTCACCAGAAAACTTTAGCACCGCACAACCATGCATTCATACCACCTAAAATCCATCTCCGTTTCGTCCTTCAGAGATAATCTATTATCGCTCTCTCGATGCACTGCTAGGATAGAGAGAAAGGAGAACTAGCGACTTGTGACTGAAAGAGAAGAGAGAGAGAAGAGAGGGGGTTCAGTAGAGACGAAGAAAGTCTCATTAGAGGAGGGAAAGAAAGACCTATATACCTCCCGAGAGCTCGAGATTCAGAGAGAGCCGATACTCTCCTGCTCTCTCTCTCTTCTCTCTTCTCTCTTCTCTCTCTCTCTCATCGCTCTCTCTCTCTCTCTCTCGCTCCCCCAGCCTGCAACCCTATCAGCAGTGCTCATGCTCTGAGTGTGTGTGGGCATGTGTGGGTGTCAGTGAGAAAGTGTGTGTTTGTGTGCCCAGGTGCCAGAGTAGTGGGCTGAGAGAAGTCAGCTCTAGGACATTATAGCTGAAGGAGAGTGGACAGAGCTCTCTGAGGGGGCCCTGACAACAATGGAGCAAACGCCTTGAGGGCCCCCCCAGAAAGACAGACAAACGGACGGAAACACTAAAAAGGGGAACGTATCATACAATAATGGTGTCAGAAGAGGTTATAATCATCTTGTCCGGTGGAGCACCATGGGGCTTTCGTCTCCAGGGGGGCGTGGAGCATCAGAAACCACTTCAGGTGGCCAAGGTATGGCTTCAGTGAAAGATAGGATGGTAAAACTGTTACAAGGGACAGGGGATACAGTAATAGGGACATTCTGAATAATTGCAGACAAAATGGTGGGTGTTCATTTTTTTCTATGACAGTGCATTCTATGATATATTGAGTCTGGAATTAGTGTGATATAAAGGGTTGTGAATGTGGTTTGGATGGAATATTGGCTGCCACCATTGGCAGGGGCCGAAAGACCTGAGCATGAGTCATGTGTCTGTTCTGGAATTAGTCATGTGCAGACATTGGAGTGATTGATAGAGCTGTTGAACTTTAAACTTCTACTGCTTGGAATGTAACCATTAAAAATAATTCTATAGTAAGTACTGTAGTATTCTATAGTAAACTGTAGTATTCTTTCATGTGGGTATGTAGCAACCCCTCTCACCCTCCCATGTGGTATGTTTTTTTCTTTAATCACCTTTCATATCAGTAGTCATAGATCTTGGGTGTGTAAGAAATAGTGTGTTTCTAGGCAGACATAATTTCATGCTATGTGGATTTTGATCATGAATCTCTAATGACATGAGAAAAAATATCTAGCTATAAAATACACATGTTGGACAGATCAGGGTCATCATTTGCAGAAGGTCATCATTGGCACTCGTTTCTGAGTGGCTGGTTCTCAGTCAGTCACTACACATATTCATAAGAGGATATCCAGTTCATCAAAGTTGTCATAGATACTGTACATACAGCATATTAGTTCACAGTTCAGGAAGGTTTTACACCAAAGTATTTCTGTTGGATCTATTCTCTGTTCATCTGAATATAAGTCATTTTTCTGGATAGGTTATTTTAGTAAATACAGTACACACACACACACACACACACACACACACACACACACACACACACACACACACACACACACACACACACACACACACACACACTGAAACCACATTTACAGAGTGTTAACTGAGAATAATTGCTTTTCAACCTGGCTATTCTGGGTTGAGGGGTGGCTCACCAAGGTGTGTGTTTCAGCCTAGTGAAGGTTGTATTCTTTGCCAGTGCTAGTTGATAAAGGGCTAAAGAGCCCCTCCAAAACAAAGACAAAATACTCTATCCTCACACACATCAATGTAACCCTTGATGTATCAAGTTTCTACCAGAGTAAAAGGTTCTTATATGTCAGGGGTATTCAACTCTTACCCTACGAGGTCCGGAGCCTGTCGGTTTTCTGTTCTACCTGATAATTAATTGCACACACCTGGTGTCCCAGGTCTAAATCAGTCCCTGATTAGAGGGGAACAATGAAAAAATGCAGTGGAACTGGCTTCGAGGTCCAGAGTTGAGTTTGAGGGTATTTAGGTCATGTAGCTTCAACATGTACACACTCTTTAAATCTCATAGGTTGCATCAACACGACGGCCGTACCCTACTTCCTGAATTGCATAATAGAGAACAACATTACTAGTAGAGCCCTTAGAATAATGGTCCCTCAAAAATAGTAGATCATAATCCAACATGGAGGTGACTTGCGCAGTTGCGTAGGAGCGTAGGACATCAGCTCACCTTATCTGAACAGACAGCTGTGTCTATGGCGGCCAATCTAAAACCATAAGACCCCTGACCTCAGAAAAGGAGGCAGCATAATCATGTTAAGTGTGTGTGTGTGTGTACATGTGAATATGCATGTGTGTGTGTTTTGATACAGGGGCAGCAGCCAGGAGCTAAGACCACAAGGTGACTGATAGACTTATTAATGTACCCGTCTTCAAGTAGCAACACAAAGTCAGGGCCACTTTGACAGGGTTAGCTAACTGGGACCTGTGATTTAATTACGGGCCTAAAATGTCAGCCCTGAATATTCTTATAGTGATTAATTGGGTTGAACCCTGTATACCCTGCCTCAGATCCAAACAATGAACACATGCACACTATTTGCAGCCATAACATATTCAATATGCAGATGTATTCAGTATCATATCCTAGAATAACCTCTAGGGGTTTAGAATAAATACATTCCTCTGCAATATGCTAAGTACTACATAACTTACATGTACACAGTATAACAGCATAGGACTGGCAAGGTGCTGCCTATGGGTTGACCCTGTACACAAATAGAGGGAGAGTGCATGGGGGAGGAGAGGTGCTGGCTGGCATTTCCCTGATAAAGTGGGTAAGAGGGCTTCACTTCTGCCACAGCTTGTGGGCAATGTCTGCTGCACGTCCAAGCTGTCAGGGCAAGTCATGAAGACTAGACATCAAGAGCGGCTTTGTCATGTTCTTCATACAATATCACTTTTCAGAAAAAGGGAGAGACGACAGAGATAAATAGTCAGAGAGGGAGAGTGATCGTTAGAGAAAGAGATTGTTAGAGAGAGAGCATCGTATTGGGTGCTGTTGGCAGTCTTATATTGAATACTGTGGGTGATATTTTGTCTCTCTGCTGGTGTAGGTGCGTAAGCGCAGTAAGGCGTGCAGGGCAGGACTGCGGGAGGGTGATGAGCTGGTGTCCATCAACAGCCAGCCTTGTGGAGGTCTGTCCCATGCCCAGGCCATGACCATAATCGACAGCTCCCCAGGAATACTACACATCCGGGTCAAGAGGTCAGAGAGCAATTACAATCACCATTGATGTGTACACCTGTCTGTCAAGTAACCCTGCTGTTAACATATTGTTTTACCTGCTATGTTAGCATTAAGTGCTACTCCATCATTACGTTTTACTCCATCATTAAGTGCTACTCCATCATTAAGTGCTACTCCATCATTAAGTGCTACGCAAATAGGATAAGCCAGAGCAGTATGACCAACAATAGTTAAGTAACCGTGTTGTGAATTTGCTCCCACAGGGCGCCGGCAGGCTTCCAGTCCGTGGTGCTGTTGACCCGCGCCCCGTCACCCCGTATCGACAAAGAGTACCGAGCCACCCTGCGTGCCATGTCCCCCTCCTCCAGATCCCACCACACAGCTGCTGTCAGGGAGGTCCCCCATGGCAGGTGCTCCCTCCTGTCCCCCATGGTGCGCAGAGGCCTCACCTCGCCCCCAGGCAGCGAGGCCTACTACGGGGAGACAGACAGTGACGCAGACGTGGCGGCCAACGAGAGGCAGAGGAAGCAGAAGCACAGAAGTCCCAGCAACTTACCCGGAAAAGCCTCCGGTAGAGCCTCCCCAGAAGGAGGGGAGACCTCAGAGTTTAGCGGCTATGACAGTGCTCCAGATGCCCGGGTCTACCCAGGACTCCAGGGCCACGGGTTACTGGATGGCAGAGGAGGGGGAGAGGGCCTGCCGGGGGTGGCCCGAAGGGAAGTGATCTACCAGCCCCCTCCAAGGATATGGTCCTCCCAGACCTCCACAGAGACATCCTCCATCATCTCCTCAGTTGAGGACCAGGTCTCAGGGCAGGACAGAGTGGTGGAGGACAGTGGATTCCAGGAGCCCTCCAACATGGTCCCACTGGTGTCCCCCGAGAGGGCCAAGGAGGCCATGCAGCTAAGCTCCCGCAGGCAGCTGGTGCCCATGGTGGGGCCCATAGACACCCCTCTGGACGAGGAGCTCAGTGTCACCTACATGGACAAGGCCAAGCAAGCCAGTAAGTATCCTAATCATGACCCGCAGGGTGATATGGGATGTTTTACTGTACAAAGAATTAGTCATGTAATGGCTAGTTGAGGCTGGCACTGCATATTGTGAGTTATTTAAGTTATTTAAATTGACATTGTCCTCTCAGGTAAAGGCAGAGTATTCCTCATGAGACAGCATTAGTCTGCATGGGGCCCTTTTAAGAGGACAGAGGCGGTCCCTTCTACTTAGAACAGGGGCTATATTTGTCCCCTGGTTCAGTTGTCCGATAACCCGAGCACTGCATGCATGAACAGGGAAAAGCATCTCCATGCAGCTGCTATCTGATATCAAGTAGCAGAGTAGTTCTCCCCCATCTCACTTTCCCTCTCTGACCAACTTTACACATCACTCTGTCCTTCTCCTCCACTATATTCCCCTCTCATGTTCATGTCTTGCTACATCTCGCTAAGACTGAAATAAAAAGAAAGGGTACATTTAAGAAAAACATACATATTTTTATGTACAGTTGAAGTCGGAAGTTTACATATACCTTAGCCAAATACATTTAAACTCAGTTTTTCACAATTCCTGATATTTAATCCTAGTAAAAATTCCCTGTCTTAGGTCAGTTAGGATCACCACTTTATTTTAAGAATGTGAAATGTCAGAATAATAGTAGAGAGAATTATTTATTTAAGCTTTTTTTTCATTCATCACATTCCCAGTGGGTCAGAAATTTACACACACTCAATTAGTATTTGGTAGCATTGCCTTTAAATTGTTTAACTTGAGTCAAACGTTTCGGGTAGCCTTCCACAAGCTTCCCACAATAAGTTGGGTGAATTTTGGCCCATTCCTCCTGACAGAGCTGGTGTAACTGAGTCAGGTTTGCAGGCCTCCTTGCTCTCACATGCTTTTTCAGTTCTGCCCACAAATGTTCTATAGGATTGAGGTTTACATTTTAGTCATTTAGCAGACACTCTTATCCAGAGCGACTTACAGTTAGTGAATACATATTTGTTTTATACTGGCCCCCCATGGGAATCGAACCCACAAACCCTCTATCAACTGAGCTACATCCCTGCCGGCCATTCCCTCCCCTACCCTGGGCCAATTGTGCGCCGCCCATGAGTCTCCCGGTCACGGCCGGCTGCGACAGAGCCTGGATTCGAACCAGGATCTCTAGTGGCACAGTTAGCACTGCGATGCAGTGCCTTAGACCACTGCGCCACTCAGCGTGCTTTGTGATGGCCACTCCAATACCTTGACTTTGTTGTCCTTAAGCCATTTTGCCACAACTTTGGAGGTATGCTTGGGGTCATTGTCCATTTGGAAGACCAATTTGCGACCAAGCTTTAACTTCCTGACTGATGTCTTGAGATGTTGCTTCAATATATCCACATAATTTTCCTTCCTCATGATGCCATCTATTTTGTGAAGTGAACCAGTCCCTCCTGCAGCAAAGCACCCCCACAGCATGATGCTGCCACCCCGTGCTTCACGGTTGGGATGGTGTTCTTCGGCTTGCAAGCCTTCCCCTTTTTCCTCCAAACATAACGATGGTCATTATGGCCAAACAGTTCTATTTTTGTTTAATCAGACCAGAGGACATTTCTCCAAAAAGTACGATCTTTGTCCCCATGTGCAGTTGCAAACCGTAGTCTGGCTTTTTTATGGTGGTTTTGGAGCAGTGGCTGCTTCCTTGCTGAGCAGCCTTTCAGGTTATGTCGATATAGGACTCATTTTACTGTGGATATAGATACTTTTGTACCAGTTTCCTCCAGCATCTTCACAAGGTCCTTTGCTGTTGTTCTGGGATTGATTTGCACTTTTCGCACCATAGTACGTTCATCTCTAGGAGACAGAACGCGTCTCCTTCCTGAGCGGTATGATGGCTGTGTGGTCCCATGGTGTTTATACTTGCGTACTATTGTTTGTACAGATGAACGTGGTACCTTCATGCGTTTGGAAATTGCTCCCAATGATGAACCAGACTTGTGGAGGTCTACAATTTGTTTTCTGAGGTCTTGGCTGATTTCTTTTGATTTTCCCATGATGTCAAGCAAAGAGGCACTGAGTTTGATGAAGGTAGGCCTTGAAATACATCCACAGGTACACCTCCAATTGACTCAAATTATGTCAATTAGCCTATCAGAAGCTTCTAAAGCCATGACATAATTTTCTGGAATTTTCCAAGCTGTTTAAAGGCACAGTCAACTTAGTGTATGTAAACTTCTGACCCACTGGAATTGTGATACAGTGAATTATAAGTGAAATAATCTGTCTGTAAACAATTGTTGGAAAAATTACTTGTGTCATGCATAAAGTAGATGTCCTAACCGACTTGCCAAAACTATAGTTTGTTAACAATAAATTTGTGGAGTGGTTGAAAAGCAAGTTTTAATGACTCCAACCTAAGTGTATGTAAACTTCCGACTTCAACTGTATAATGTATATGTACTGTATATGTAAGACACATTTAAAACAGCGTAAACAAAAGATGATAACATTCCATTCATACACGTGAATATACAAAATACACACACATGTGCTGTCTTTGGCCGGATGGTTAGGCACCAATACACTAATAGCTAATGATAGTGAGGCTGAGTGTCCTCTGCTCTGATCAGTCTGTCAGACAGCTGATGTATGGACCAGTGACCTGGGCTAACAGCTGAAGAATGCATGTTTGTGTATCAGCGATGAAGAGGTTTGCTGTGGGATGACGTTCCACGACGGATGTTTCAGATGCTCCACTTAGTGCAAAGGAACACAGAAATTGATGGTTTTAAGATAAGGCCAATAATGGATCAGTAAAATTAATAAATTATGTTGGTGTGAGAAAGCAACTACAACTTATCAGTCACAGAAATGGTTAAACTCATATTGAAAAGCCACCTAAAGCAGGATCACATAAGTAGTTTTCCATATTTGAATTGTAATCTTTGAGTTTATCAAGCAATAACGATCCCTAGACAGATGGACTAGATGGCAGATTAAAGGGAAATTCCATATATACAAATATTTTATTTGTTACAATAACAGAGAATCTCTGTTATCTACAGTAGGGTATGTGATCATGTCATACTTTATGTCAATAATAAACTCCTGACCAAGTACATATATACAGTGGGGAAAAAAAGTATTTAGTCAGCCACCAATTGTGCAAGTTCTCCCACTTAAAAAGATGAGAGAGGCCTGTAATTTTCATCATAGGTACACGTCAACTATGACAGACAAATTGAGGAAAAGAAATCCAGAAAATCACATTGTAGGATTTTTTATGAATTTATTTGCAAATTATGGTGGAAAATAAGTATTTGGTCACCTACAAACAAGCAAGATTTCTGGCTCTCACAGACCTGTAACTTCTTCTTTAAGAGGCTCCTCTGTCCTCCACTCGTTACCTGTATTAATGGCACCTGTTTGAACTTGTTATCAGTATAAAAGACACCTGTCCACAACCTCAAACAGTCACACTCCAAACTCCACTATGGCCAAGACCAAAGAGCTGTCAAAGGACACCAGAAACAAAATTGTAGACCTGCACCAGGCTGGGAAGACTGAATCTGCAATAGGTAAGCAGCTTGGTTTGAAGAAATCAACTGTGGGAGCAATTATTAGGAAATGGAAGACATACAAGACCACTGATAATCTCCCTCGATCTGGGGCTCCACGCAAGATCTCACCCCGTGGGGTCAAAATGATCACAGGAACGGTGAGCAAAAATCCCAGAACCACACGGGGGGACCTAGTGAATGACCTGCAGAGAGCTGGGACCAAAGTAACAAAGCCTACCATCAGTAACACACTACGCCGCCAGGGACTCAAATCCTGCAGTGCCAGACGTGTCCCCCTGCTTAAGCCAGTACATGTCCAGGCCCATCTGAAGTTTGCTAGAGTGCATTTGGATGATCCAGAAGAGGATTGGGAGAATGTCATATGGTCAGATGAAACCAAAATATAACTTTTTGGTAAAAACTCAACTCGTCATGTTTGGAGGACAAAGAATGCTGAGTTGCATCCAAAGAACACCATACCTACTGTGAAGCATGGGGGTGGAAACATCATGCTTTGGGGCTGTTTTTCTGCAAAGGGACCAGGACAACTGATCTGTGTAAAGGAAAGAATGAATGGGGCCATGTATCGTGAGATTTTGAGTGAAAACCTCCTTCCATCAGCAAGGGCATTGAAGATGAAACGTGGCTGGGTCTTTCAGCATGACAATGATCCCAAACACACCGCCCGGGCAACGAAGGAGTGGCTTCGTAAGAAGCATTTCAAGGTCCTGGAGTGGCCTAGCCAGTCTCCAGATCTCAACCCCATAGAACATCTTTGGAGGGAGTTGAAAGTCCGTGTTGCCCAGTGACAGCCCCAAAACATCACTACTCTAGAGGAGATCTGCATGGAGGAATGGGCCAAAATACCAGCAACAGTGTGTGAAAACCTTGTGAAGACTTACAGAAAACGTTTGACCTGTGTCGTTGCCAACAAAGGGTATATAACAAAGTATTGAGAAACTTTTGTTATTGACCAAATACTTATTTTCCACCATAATTTGCAAATAAATTCATTAAAAATCCTACAATGTGATTTTTTGGAGAAAAAAAATCTCATTTTGTCTGTCATAGTTGACGTTTACCTATGATGAAAATTACAGGCCTCTCTCATCTTTTTAAGTGGGAGAACTTGCACAATTGGTGGCTGACTAAATACTTTTTTCCCCCACTGTACAAAAGACTTACAACATGCCCACCTGTCAGTTATAAACTCCAGGACAGGGAGGGCTGAGGCTATTCGAAGATGTTGCTGTTTTAAGAAGTTAAAGAAATAAACTGCCATAAATCCCTGAGTGTCCCTAATTAGAGGTTCACTGTCACATGTCCTGTTAAGGGACACTGCCGGTGACAAATTAAATAACAACTCCTTACATAGTTGAGGACATTGGGATCATAGATTTAGCCTCCCTACGCTAATTAAAACCATAACAAATTAGTGGAAATGTACAACCTCTGCCTACAAGATGGGACTTTCCGTTAACTCTTTATGCTATTTGGTGAAGTTAGTAGCTGGGAACTTGGGATTTCTCCTTTACCTTGTGTTATGATGAGTTTCTTGGGTATCAAATAATCAAGGATGCAAGAATATAGTTAGACACTTTGTAGACAGTTAATGCAAATGTTTAATGATCGGTACCGGGTTCGTTACAACAATGACCAGAGCTTTGCCCTTGGTGTTACGAACTAACTTGAACAGAGAAGACACTCTACCTTATATACCTTCTGTTACCCTCTTCTTGGCATACATCTAGTAAGTCTCCATGGGCACTCCCAGTCTTTGATGTTCATCACCCTTACCCCAAGTCAGTATCCTGTCCATCAATCATGCTATCCTAAACATCACTAATCTACCTTGACATAAGTAATGTACACTTTCTGTCTCCTAACCACTTATCTAGTAACTCTAACCTGTTCCCCACGATACTATGACATGACATCATTACACTATAAAAAACATCATATCACCTTGGTTAATGTGAAAAGCCTGTGGCTTGCCAGTCATTTTTCCGGAGGTGCTCTGGTAGCATGTTAGAAGATGGATGCTTGTTAAAGACTCTCCCTGCTGTTTTTAGAACCTGATGTCACGCTGAGTTCTCCATTTAAAGGTTAAATCTGGTCGTTCATCACTGGTTAAAAAAAATCCCTTTACTGTTGCCAATGCATCAATGTCCACCCTATAAAATACTATCCCGTGATCTTTTTGTGTATATTATGTTAGATTCAGTTCCAATTTAAGTTAATCAGTTCAGATGAATTATAACTCCTATTCAAGAATTGAAAATAAGTTTCATCCAGAACTTTTCAAAAAATGTATCGACTGGATTGAAATGAAAATTACCCCAACCAAGATAACATAGAAACAGTAATGGCATTTCTACAGACATACCCACCCTAAAAAATGCTCTCTGACACCTACAGAACTGAACCGGGGTGACACAGCTCAAGATAAAAAGGTGAAGGAGGCCAGAACCAAGTGCCGCTCCATCGCCTCCCTTCTGACAGACGCCCCCAACCCCCACTCCAAGGGTGTGCTGATGTTCAAGAAGCGCAGGCAGCGCTCCAAGAAGTACACGCTGACCAGCTTCGGCAGTGTGGACGAAGACATGCAGCACAATTCCCAGGAGGAAGATGGTCTCTTCCCAGGAAGCGAGTCGGAGTTTGATGAGGATGGCTTCTCAGCCGCCCCCGACACCACCTGGGACAGTGACTACCTAGATGCGCTGGAGAAGAGGGCGACCGCAGGGGGGGAGCGAGGGGACGGTGCAGAAGATGCCCCCAGTCCCGGCCTGAGTGACATCTCTGGGAAGGGCGCCCAGCTGTTTGAGCAGCAGAGGAAGAGGGCGGCCGAGCACGCCAAGAAGGTGGCTGCCGCCCAACCTCAGACAAGGACCCAATCACCGAACCAACTACAGATCCAGGAGCAGCCTCAGCCATATACACAGAGCCAGCCCCAGGCAGAAACACAACCACAGATGTACCAGCCTCAGCAGCCTACAGCACCACCGCCCCCTGTAGCCTTCCAGGAGGAGGCTCGGTCTGTGGCAGAGAGGCCTATGGCACCGGCCCCAGCTGCTCCTACTGCCTACAGCATGGCTAATGGAGACGTAGCCTACTCTGCAGTGAGCATGGCTAGCATGGTGATGTCACCCCTGACTGTGGCACCCAAACCAATCACCACCCAAGTGTCTATCTTAACCACTCACATACCTCCGCCCCAAACACCGCTGCCAGAACTCTCCTCCAGCTCTGTGCTCAACAGAACAGCCCGCCCCTTCAACCCAGGGTTTGTGACCAACCGAGCCGCCACCGCTCCTGTTGTGTTCCGCCCCGTCATCACCAAAAGGGCCCCGCGTCCGGCGACCTCTGTGTCTATTGTAGGACCTCCCTTCTCTTCCTCATCAGAGCTGCCTCCAAGTGGTAATCCCTCCTTCTCTCCCCCGTCCTCTGTGTCCAGAGGACCCTTCTCCACCTCCTCCTCAGCATCGGCCATTCATCCCCGTCCTGCCTTCTCTGTGGAGAACCTGGCAGAACCACCCATGTCCTCTGTTCCACAGGCTTCCTTCATAGCCATACGTCCACCCCCAGCACAATTTTCAGGTGGCCCCATACCCCCACCTCCAGTATCATTTGCCAATGTACCCTCAATTCCACCTCCATCACCATTCTCAGGTGCACCCATACCCCAGCCTCAAGTTTCTGTTGCCCAGATGTCCCAAGCTTCTGTCTCAGTTGTTCCACTCCCACCCCCCACAACCCCAACACCTATACCCAGATCCCCCATGTCCAAGGTCCCACCTCCCCCTGGTGGTCGTACCGGCATCCTCCAGGAGGCTCGTCGGCGCAGCGGTAGGAGGCCCATGTTCGGAGTCCCTGGTGAGAAGAAGAATTCTCCCAACCCTGACCTGCTGAACATGGTGCAGAACCTGGATGACAGGCCCCGCTACGGAAGCTACTCAGAGAGTATGATGGCCTTTGAGTCAGGCGCTGAGGAAGACCAGGGTGCTGAAGCCTGCCAGGGAAGGATGCCTCCACCGGTGGCCCCCAAACCCCGGGTCATCCACGAGGCCCCCCAGATCCCCCAGGAAGAGGGCAAGGGGGCTCAGCTGTTTGCCCGCAGGCAGAGCTGCATGGACCAGTATGTGGTAGACACTCCACAGGAGACCGCCTACCAGCAGGAGGTCACCCACCCAGGGGCCAAGCCCCAGGATGCTCCCAACCCCAATATCATCTCACAGTGGAAGTTATCCCCCAACATCCGCGCCCCCCCGCCTATTGGCTACAACCCTCTGCTGGCCCCCTCCTGTCCTGTGGGGCCACAGAGAGATACCAGCAGGTCTGACAGGGGGGGCTGGGGAGGCAAAGGAGGGATCGCCTTTCAGAGGGAGGGAATCAAAGCTCTGGATTTCATGAGAAGGCAGCCTTACCAGCTCAACTCAGCTATGTTCGGGGGTAGTGTTGCCAACCTGTCGGCGATGCCCTCCTACCAGGACCAGAGACAGCAGCAGGGAGGGTACACTACTATGGTGGGCAGCACCATGACCCCTCCCAGACAGATCCCAGTCAAGGCGGCCCGTGTGTATGAGATCAAGCGCTTCTCCACACCCACGCCCATGTCAGCCCCGAGCCTGGCCCCCACCGTGATCGCTCCTCGCTCAGCCACAACACTGGGAGAGCGCCTGACCCGCTCTGACATGATCTCCCCAACCCCTGTTCCTCTCTCCTCACCCCCTGCCCCTGTCTTTGCCCCAGCTCCTATCTCTGCCCCACATCCCGTCCTTGCTCCTACCTATTCAGGGGGCCTGCCCGGGCTGCCCAGAATCAATGCCACCCTTGTCCCTAACCCCATCCCCATCCCCTACCCAGAACCCTATCCTGGAGTGTCCTGCAGTTGGCTCCAAGGAGCCAAGCAGTTTCAGAGTGCCCCTGAGCTTAGTTTCCTTGCTAACCTCCCCACTCCCCTAAGGGCAAATGCCATGCAGGCACCCAAACCCCGCTTCATCGCCACCAAGGTGGGCGTCCAGCCGTGTGTGTGGAGACCAGATGCCATGTGATCGGGATTGGGAGACCCTGTCTGTTACTAAGAGAACTGGACACATCTCAGCCCTATAAAAAAATATCTGCAAAACATCAAGTAATAAGGTGGTCAAATACTGATCAATGAGCTTGTTCAGTACCCAACAAAAATGTTTTTACGAATGTGTTAAGTGTGTTTGATTGTAATGATTTGAAACCCTCACTAAATGAATGGTTGATTGCTGAAACTCAGAAATGTGTTTCCATGCATTTGATTATTTTCAACCCTTTTGTTTGTGCAATAGAAGTAATTTGCTAACAACGTCACTAAGAACTAGCCTCGTACGAACCATCCTGATCTCGCAAGACCAGGATGGTTCATATGAGGTTAACTAAGTACTATAATAAACTTTAAATCATAGTCATCCATGTGATTGCAGTCATAGCTTGCTTGTCACACATGCTGTTGCTGAAATGCATTTGTCTGGTTTGTCTGTTAAATCATTGTCTATCAGGACATTTTAAGGAATTTGGTCCAGTCATGTTACACATACACAGTAAGTAGTATACACACTGTCCTGGAGGAGGTTTGTGTAAGGCTTATCTTTCTACACAGTCAGCTAAATACTGTTTAAATAGCCATGGGAGTGAGAGAGCCTGTACTGAATGATTATTTGAAACTTGAAATGTTGACATGTAGGATTTCTTTAAAAAGATTGCAACAGGAGGATCGCTGAGGCCCTGTGTCTTCCCTCTCTCTGACGAGCGGACAGAGGAGGGAGAGGTGAGGCTAACACAGGGGGGTCAGAGGTCCACTGATTCAATGTGAGCACCATCAGATGAGTGCCAAGCACCATGATGCTTCACTCAGAGGAAACCACTGACATGACTCTCTTATGACATCTGGACTCTCCAACAGAGGTCATTGCTCAGTTTTCATTGGACAATGGCTAGGTCTAATATTTAATGGATCTAGGGCTGGGGCTCCCTTCCAGTCTGCTGAAACCCACCTGGGAAGATGAGAGGAGGGAGAAGTTCTGTTAGACCTCTCTACATCCTGAGTGTTTGTGTTGGTGGTCAGATCCCTGGCTCCCAGTGGTCAGTGAGAAATGCTATCTGTTTTGGCGGTGCTTGTAGTCAACAGGTGTCTTGCGATCCTGTCACTGCCTATTTGCAGAGCTGATCAGACAGCAAACCGAACTGGATGAACACATCAACCTAGCCCTTCCCAGACTAGTGTGCCCTTTCTGGATGTCTGGTGTCCATGTCACCGCTCACGTTGTATTAAAACAAATGACACTAATGATGGATGTGTATTTTTTATTTATTGTGACTGAAGTGTTAAAAACATGAGAGGGGCTGTGGATATGGAAGCAGCAGGGACATATGGTCCCTGCCAAATTATTTAAAGGGGTGTCGGTTATAAACCCAGAGTCAAGGTTCTCACTGGCATTTAGAGGAGGGGAGATATGTCAAAGTGCGCCATGAGAGAGAAACTTTGGATATTTGTCAAGGACTTCCCACAGCCTTTAGAAATGAGAAGAAAGTGACTAGGAAAGCCTGGGTTCTGAGGCCTAGTGAGGGAGGAGGGTAGAGCGAGAAGAGGGACAACACCATTGGTGCCTCTGAGACATGGAGGTGATCAGGTAGTGTATAAAATGGGAGAGATGACAGAGAATGAACCCAATCATGAATGGGACCATAACCGTTCATATTCTTCTAACCCTGAAAACAGCTGATGGTAATTAACTGCAAACATATACAGGCTTTTGGATATGGATATGACCCCCATTCACTGACAGGGTTCATGACTCTCACCTTTCTGATGGTGGTAAATGGTTGTTATTTTTTGTTGTTTTTCTAATTTACAAATCTAATTTAACCTAACTTAGGCTATCTGTTGTGTTTATGTTATTAAAGGTTTTAATGTATGTGATATATTGTGCATATGTGTAAAAATACAATAATTGACTTATAATTTGAGTGTGAAAATGTCTGTTAATGAAGCCGCAATAAAGGAGGGCAGAAAGAGCTTTTCACTGACTGAGATATGTGCCATTTTTAGAGGAATAAAACTGAAACATTTCTCCAATTGTCTGAATCTTCTGATTCCACACTGCCCCCTGTCGTTCACTGTATGACACTGCAATGATCAGATAGCCACTATTATTGTACTACAGAAAACCAGTCTAGAACAGGGATAAAAAGCTACATGCAAACACAATGCCATTGTTTCCCCAAAATAACACATTTTTCTATAGATAGATAGATAGATAGATAGATAGAAAAATCTATCTATCTATCTATCTATCTATCTATCTATCTATCTATCTATCTATCTATCTATCTATCTATCTATCTATCTATCTATCTATCTATCTATCTATCTATCTATCTATCTATCTATCTATCTATCTATCTATCTATCTATCTGTCTGTCTGTCTGTCTGTCTGTCTGTCTGTCTGTCTGTCTGTCTGTCTGTCTGTCTGTCTGTCTGTCTGTCTGTCTGTCTGTCTGTCTATTTTAGTAATCTAGGACAATACCCATGTGATATTCAAAACATTTACAGTAAACCTAATTATAACACAGATTATACCATCCACAGCCAGAAAATGGTCTTTAAATTGTTAAAGGTAGCCTAACAAATATGCAGCTACCTACCAACTGAATATAATTAAGACAAGAATTCAAGTCAATATCAGTTCCAAGAAGCCACTTCAGAATCAGACTTTTCCTTGAATGCCTGGGTGGGAAATAGGTTAGGCCTACTGTATGGAAGTGTAAAATAGTGGATAATTGGTAGTCTTGTCCCTATGGTCTTGTCAGGGGGTGCGAAGCATCAGTCCTCTAACAATCCGTGGTGGTGAGTACAGGCCTTCCATACAATGTAACTTAACTTGTAAATAAACAATGTTACAATTTGCGACCTTAATCCAACACCTAGTGAACTCTTCAACAAGTTTGGACCTCTTGATATAATGGTTAAGGTGTTGGCTGGACAGTCACTGGATCCAGGTTCAAGTCCCTGTCGGGGCAACCCCCTGAATTCGCTACATTGGTGTAAGAAGTGGGATGGTCATCGGAGAGGTGTGTGCACGTGTGGGACTTGGTATAGAGAAGCGGGGGGACACGCTCTCCCAAAGGAAGGGGGTAATGTAGCAACCTTAATCCAACACCTAGCAACTTTGTCAAGAGTTTTGGACCTCTTTGCATAACGGTTAAGGTGTTGGCTTGACAGTCGCTGGACCTGGGTTTGAAACCTGGTCGGGGCTACCCCCCGAATTCACTATAATATTGATTATATTAGGCAATAGAACATATAGGCAGGCATGTAACTTACATTTGTATAGCCCCCCCCCCCCCCCCCCCCCCCAAATTCATGATGTCCATCCGGTTTGCTTCTATATGCCATATCTTTCTAACTGTGCTCCTTCACAAAAGCTCCCAACCTACAACCCATACACTTATTATGGACACAGCGTGCCTACATTATTAGTTATCTTGTTATTGTTTGTTGTTAGTTGTTATTAGTCCCATCCTTCAATTCCATTCAACACCTCCCATTTATCTTTTAACACCATCCATATAGGATTTCTATTTGCCATATATATTTCAACAGTACTGTGATGTCTTACAAAAGTTCTGAACCTTTCTATTCTCATTGTTTCTACAGATTGTGAATTGAAAATAAACATTTTTGCTAATAGGATTATTATGTTATTGATCGATTGACTATGACTTTTCAGATCACCCAGTAGTGCTATCTGCAGGGTTATCTCCAGGTAAATATTGCAATCCTTTAGCCATTCCTGGACCTGTGTCCAAAAACAAGCTACAAATGGACAGTACCAAAACAAATGATCTAATGATTCTGTCTCTTCGCAGCAAAATCTGCAGAGCTGGGAAGATTGTATCCCCCATATAAATAACATTCTATTGGTAGCAAGAATTTTATATAATACTTTAAATTGAAAGATTCTAAGTTTTGAATCCGATGTCGTTTTGCGTATCAGTTCATAAACACTATGCCATGGGATCGGTATGTCAAAAATCTCTTCCCAACTATTTTGCAGTCTACAGTATATGGGACGGCTGTCAATCCTTTGGTCCTTAAATGAAACTGATATACCTTTTTATTTATTACAGTTTTCCTTAACCAATTATGTTCTTTAATGCAAGGCCGACAGACAAGTTCCTTACTTTCTCCTCCTTCCACTTTCCTCTTCCATTTTTGCGGTAAGGTTGCAATTATTTGGTTGTAATTTTGGGTAGAGCAGACATTTCCATATGTTTTTGTTAGCTGCATGTGCGACATAACTCCACCAGTCCTACCGATGATATAATTTACAAAGATTATACCTTTTTTAAACATTTTGTCAAAAAAAAAGTTTTTTTGTCAATTAGTATATTTGAGTTTAACCACAATATTTGTTGCATTATTTGTTCTGTCGTTTCTGGAGGATTAAATTGAAATTGCAACCGACTTTCTATGGCTTGTTTTAGAAATAGTGATATCTGGGAGATGATTTCCTTTTCAAATTACTGAAAGTGAGTGGTTGTAATCTGAATAAAGGGGAAAAGGCCATTCTTGAACATTGGGTGAGTCAATCTTACTAATTTGCTAGAGAACCAGTTCAGATTTAAGTATAACTTTTGTATGACTGAAGCTTTTAGTGATAGGTCTAATGCTTTAATATTTAATCATTTCTGTCCTCCGAATTCATATTCATTATATAAATAGGCCCGTTTAATTTTGTCTGGCTTGCCGTTCCAAATAAAATGGAATATTTTTTTCTCATATAATTTAAAAAACTGTTCGCTAGACGTAGGCAAGACCATAAGCAAATAGGCAAACTGGGATAATACTAAAGAGTTAATCAGGGTGATTTTTCAAATTGATTTTTCAAATTGACAGGCACCCACCTTTCCATGGTAGCAAGATCTTATCTATTTTTGCTAACTTTCTATTATAATTTATTGAAGTGAGATCATTTATTTCCTTTAGGATATGTATTCCGAGTATATCCACATCACCAT